GCAGCGTCTGCAGTGTGTGCAGCATCTGCAGCATCTGCGGTGGGGGTGCGGTGTGTGCGGTGTGTGCAGTGTCTGCAGTGTTTGCAGTGCGTGCAGTGTGAGCAGTGTGTGCAGTGTTTGCAGTGCATGCAGCATCTGCAGTGTGTGCGGTGTGTGCAGTGTTTGCAGTATGCGCAGTGTCCGTAGCATCTGCAGCACATTCAGTGTGTGCAGTATTTTCAGCGTCTGCAGTGTTTGCAGTGTGTGCAGCATTGTGGCGTCTGCAGTGTGTGTGCAGTGCCTGCAGTGTGGTGGGCAGCATTTGCAGTGTGTACAGTGTGTGCAGTACACACAGTGTCTGCGGCATCTGTGCGCAGTGTGTGCAGTATTTGCAGTGTCTGCAGCATCTGCAGTGTCTGCAGTGCCTGCAGTGTCTGCGGTGTGCGCAGTGTGTGCAGTGCACGCAGTATTTGCAGTCTGCAGTGTGCACAGTGTCTGCAGGGGTGTAGCATGTGCAGCGTGTGCGGTATTTGCAGTGTCTGCAGTGTGCGCAGTGTCTGTGGCATCTGCAGTGTGAGCAGTGTGAGCAGTGTCTGCAGGGTGCAGCGTCTGCAGTGTCTTCAGTATTTGCAGTATGTGCAGTGTCTGTGGCGACTGAGATGTCTGCAGTGTGTGCAGTATTTGCAGTGTCTGTAGTGTGTGTGGTGTGTGCAGTGTGTGCAGTACATGCAGTGTCTGCGGCGTCTGCAGTGTGTGCAGTCTGCAGTGTGTGCACAGTGTCCTCAGGGCACAGTGTGTGCAGTATTTGCGGTGTCTGCAGTGAGAGCGGTGTCTGCAGTGTGCGCAGTACATGTGGTGTCTGCAGTGTGTGCAGTATTTGCAGTGTGCACAGTGTCTGCAGGGCACAGCATGTGCAGAGTCTGCAGTGTCTGCAGTGTATGCAGTGTGAGCAGTGTTTGAAGTATGCGCAGTGTTTGCAGTATGTGCAGTATTTGCGGTGTGCCCAGTGTGCACAGGGTGCAGTGTGTGCAGTGTCTGCAGTGCTTGCAGTATGCGCAGTATCTGCAGTGTTTGCAATATGTGCAGTGTGTGTGGTGTGTGCAGTCTGCAGTATGTGCAGTATTTGCAGTATGCACAGTGTTCGCAGGGTGCAGTGTCTGCAGTGTGAGCAGTGTGAGCAGTACACGCAGTACATGCAGTGTCTGCAGTGTCTGCAGCGTGTGCAGTATTTGCAGTGTGCACAGTGTCCTCAGGGTGCAGAGTGTGCAGTGTCTGCAGTGTCTGCAGTGCAAGCAGTGTTGTGCAGTATTTGCAGTGTGTGCAGTGTCCACAGGGCGCAGTGTGAGCATTGTCTGCAGTGTGTGCAGTGTGCACGGTGTGAGTAGTGTGAGCAGTGTGCGCAGTGTGTGCATTGTGGGAAGTGTGTGCAGTGTGTGCGGCGTGAGCAGTATTTGCAATGTGTGCAGCGTGCACAGTGTGCGCGTTGTGAGCAGTGTGCGCAGTGCATGCAGTGCACATGCAGTGCGCATGCGGCCCCACACCGCGTCTCCCAGGCGTGCTCCCACGCATGTGCACCGCGTGGGGACCACCCTACCGCCCATCCCCACCACATGCGCCATCTCCCCACACACACCCCATCACCACATGCGCTGAGCGCAGCAGTCCTGCACTTATCATGCGCTTAGCGTGCGCTTAGCATGTGCTTAGCGTGTGCGTGGTGTGTGCGTGCCGCGGGGAGGCGGAAGGAGGGAGGAGGAGGAGGAGGTGGGGGGGGTTTATCTAGCGCTACTCTGGCATCATCCCTGATATTCGTCGCTATTAAGAATATTGGGTTAAAATGTACCTGATTCTTTGTTAATACTATTTTTTCTCAGACAAAAACCAAAAAACCCCACCCCCCCCAAAAAAAAAAAAAACAACTCCCATGCAGGACGTGAAGGGAATTATTGCTCTATAGGTTTCAGTACTGGACTCCTACGGAGAGATATTGCCCTCGAGAAGAGACTATCTACAGTTTTGGCAAATCAACGAGAAAATACCCGCCCCCTACACA